AGAAATGTATCCATGTATGGAGAAAAACATACTTTCACACTTTTACAAAACACACTGACTGATAATTAACAGGTATACATTTTTATCAAATGTGAGTTCCTACCTGAATGACGCTGCCATATTTACCACGTCCCCGTGAACCTTCTTGTTCTCAGCCTCATTCTGTTTTTGTTCCAAATTAGCTGCATGCTATGATACAAGCATAACCAATAAAAAAAATGAATAACAAGGAACTGCAAAAAGTCAAAATATGTAATGCGTCCAAGGCAGTAAACCTACTGAATACACAAGAGTCTTTGCTTACAGCTGTAATTAAAAACCAAAGGCAGGATCTGCTCCATGATCTACATACATTAGAGTTGTTTGTCACTTACTTGCAATTTCTGAAGAAGCACCATATCTCCAATCTTATCCTTCTCATGCTTTGCCTGTTTAGCCTTCCAGAACTGTTTCTGGGCAGAATATCGGTTCATGGGATAAACCTTAAAGAGGCAATCTAGATAAAAAAAGAACAATTAAATAACATTTGTATTAGCCAATTAATTTCTTATGTGTGGCTGTTTTGGAAGAATGTGATTTAATCTGCAAAAACACTTTGTAGACACTGTTTTTGTGGGAAGAATTTGAGGAAAATAAGAATAGGAATATAGAAATTTCACTTGAAACAGAAACACAGGAAACAGAGAAAAAATTATTTTGTATTCATTCATTTTTGATCTCAAGTTAACTTCTGAATCACCTGTAGATCAGATCAACAATGGTTAGAGGTTATGGTTAGAGATTATCTATCTGCCTCACTGACCCAGATAGTACAACATACAGTATAAATAGCAGCTTGCTAAACAACTTGTATCACACCAAAGAGGTTCACAAAATGACTGACTGCAATGTTCATAAACTACAATGACTAAAATGTTTCTTTAGCAGCTAATTGAAATTAATAAATATAAATTGAAGTACAAGAAGTATTCAACCTAAAATACAAATAAATTACAAATAGAACAATAAAATTATACAATAAATAAATAATAAAATTATATTATTATATGTTCTATAGAAATAGAACATAAAATTACAAAAAAATTAACTTAACTTAAAATATAAAAAGCTAATTCAAAATTGTAATAAACTATATAATAATATAAGTACATTATAAATTGTATCAAAATAAAACATGAAATATTGATTCGAGTTGAAAAATAGTCAACTCATTACACGCACAACACAAATGGCCTAGCAAAGAGATAAACACTGCAATAATATTCAAATATTCCTAACATTGTTATTATTAATCTGCAATCTAAGTTTTTATAGATACAAGTTAACTAGCATATTTAATGTACTATGTCTTACTCTTTTTTCCCCTCAAACTTCTAGCTATCAATCAAAGGCTGTGCGTGCAACTGACCAATCAGAATCAAGACTTACAAAGAGCTATGCAATCATTATTCTAGAGGTACATTAAGCTGTGTGAAAGATTATTTTTAAAAAAATGAAAATACCTCTGAATTTTTTGGGAGGGTTGTCTAGATCTCCAGTAGCTGGCTCCACAACACAACGGTCATCCACCAGTCTGGAAGGTAAACACACACATACAGAGTCATCTCAATAAAAAAAAATTCTTCTAAAGCCTTTATGAGGCACGGCAATATCAGTCGCCATAAATAATTATGGGTCACAAATTCTAAAAGAGCTTCATTCCTGGCCTGGAGTGTGAATGCCCTTGTTTTTAGACACTTGTGGAAGACATCCTGCTAAATATTTTACATTATAAAGTCCTAACACTCTGCCAAGTTGCTTTAAAGGTCTAATTACATTATTTCCATTATATTTGGCAATATCCCAAGGGTAACCTGCATCTAATTATTGCAGCCTTTGAGGGTTTCTAAGAAACAGGCTAAAACATGTTTAGGCTGCCAGGCCAGTTCAATAAGACACTCAGTGAGCCTATCAAACAGAATGGTTGAAATAGCCAAAGGGAAAACCCTGGACGCCTCTGAATGTGGTTTCAGAGAGCCATTCCTGCATGCTCCATCTATTTTATCTGCTCCATTCTATCTCCATCTATTTGTTCTTGCATCTGGCTTGTATCCAAAACAGGGGTGGTATTTCCTCCTGACATTAAAACAACAGTAATGGTTTGGGCTGAATAGTTCATACAATGAGAATAACATTTAACAAGGTTTTTTTCCCCCCTCTCCATGACTAACAGGTTTCATTGTATATTTCCATTTATATTATATTATGATTCACAATCTAGGTTGTTAACTTACTCTGTAACTTAACTGCACACCTGTGTGCTCTTTCTCTTTCCAAACATCAAAGAGAAGTGTAAAAGTAAGCCACAGTACAGTCAGAGAAAAAGAACAAAGATTGCAATCTCAAGACTAGAAATACAATTTTATTTAACAAACATGCAAATTGATTGATTCAAATTGCAGGCTATGGTTTACTGCATGTCAGCTGAACATAAAAACTGTTTGGTGCAGGGTCTTGGGCTGAGGTAAAGGCAGGCAGGAAGACAGAGAAGTCAATGAAAGAAAAGACACTTACCCCAGTGTGCTTATAAAACCATTGACAGTTCCTTCTGCATACAGCGAGACAATGTCCCCTATATGCAGAAAACTGGACGCTGAATCAGACATCTTTGCTAATAAAGCACGCTGCCGTGTGGATGCTTCAGTCTGGTCTTAAGAAGCCGGACTCTTTTCTTACAGACTCTTCCTGATACAGCGGGTGTAGGCACGAGCTTCACCCACAGTTGAAGTATAAATGCATCTCGGTAGAGTTGTGAAACACGCAAAGGAAAAAAACACCGCAAAAGTTTAATCCCTGGTTGGATGTGCCACTGGGAATGTAGAGCACAGAGGTCCGACAAGTTGAAATGTGTTGTTGTTGGAACTTTGCAGCGTACCTGAGGACGAGGTCATAGTGATTCAAACCAGGAAGCACGCGCAACTTTGTCAAGTCAAAACACGCCTGTAGGGGAGGGCACCGCGTGGAAGAATACAGAACACTAGACTACTAGAGCGATACAACTATAACACCCTCTCGACACTTCAAGCGAGGGACTTGACAGAAAGAAAAACAAGTAAAATAATGAATGGGACTGCTGTACATGAATTATATTATCGTTCGTGTAACCCTCTAGTGCTGCCCGCGTGGCTGTCAAAAAATAAAAATAAAATCATTTTTTGTTTGTTTTTGTATTCACATTGAAAGTGCCAACACCTTTAAATTTACTAAATAGTAAAAATGCATAAATAATTTTGTACATGTAGCATTTTTATTTTATTTCTCAGCACAATACAACAATAAATAGAAAAAAAAATAGTTGTATTAGATTTTCATGTAACATTAATTATTTCTGTAGATAGATCTCTAGATACAAAGTGATATTTATGTTTTTAGCATCTATAGATAGATGTTGGTGTTGTGCTAGTGCTCTGCTGACAAAGATAACAAATGAGAACTCTATATGCACAGGCCTCTATAAAAACAGACCCACCCAACCTCTCATTTTGGAAACTAAAACTAAATTTCCTGTTTCAGTTCATAAGACAAAACATGGTATTTAGCAACACAATACAAGGGGCACCTGGTTTATACATGGATGCACAACCTAAATTTGTTATCATTTTGATAGGTCAGTTCAGCTTCTGCTGTAATTGTTTAGTCATACCAGTTTGATTTCTTTATCCATAACAACAATAAAAGCTTCATGAATATAATAGGATCAATATTTTCTTGGACTTGGTACTGGCAGTTACTCTATAAACAGGCATCAAGCGAGTTTATACTGAGAGGTTTTAGATTTACAACTGAGAAAGGTGCAATCAATCTTTCCATTCAATTATGCTTGAAAACAAGGTTGTATATAAAATCATTATTCACAAAACGGAGCAATGGAAACGCCGGCATCAGTAAGAAAAGGTACACACAAATCTGTGACATGCAAAACCACATCTGTGCAGTGCACGTGTACTTGCTCTAAATGTTGAGCTTAGTTTCTACGTATTCAAAATGGATGTCCAGGCAAATTTGCATTCAAATCAAGGTTCAGGAAACATGGGATGCAATTGTGGCTGGATTTGCATTGCGGTGGCTGGCACTGAAAGTCAATTAGAAGTTTATAATGACTTCCCCACACTCTCTCTCCTCATATACTGTAACCTATATTTTGATTAAAATGTGAAAACTCTACTCGAGTAACTACCGGTATATTTTGGGAATGTAGGCACACAATGGTTTTTATACAAATGAAAAATGTTTCTGGAGCCAAAGAATCCGAGCAGCACCTTCTCAACTCATGATTCATAGGCTATTTGCAAAGCTTTAAACAGTACAGTTATTTAAATGCAAAAAGAGTAAACAAACATGAGACTGACTCTTCTAATTAGCACTTCAGTCAGTGAACACATCATGTGCAACCGCAACAAAGTCTCTGACACCGGAGATTTTATTTTCCTTAGTTATGACCTAATTTGGAAATATATTCACCGTTATCTTCAAGGCCAGTATTTTTCAGGCTCCATTGGCTTGTTAAATCTTGCTTTTAGGTCAAATCTTCCTATATGGGCAAGGTCATAGACAGATTTTGGTTGACAGCATATTAATGACTATCAACAGACAGTCAGGTGAGTCTGAGGAAACTTGCACAAGCTGAACTTCATAATTCAAATAATAACCAATAAAAAAAATAACAACTGAGAGTAGCAAAGACAAAAAGGTGTGATCACTTGATCATTATATGCTCACTTTAGACACATGATCTAAGGATCCTCAAGCTCTAGCTTGTTCCTCATATCCTTATTGACATAGGGAGATGTCTACAACGCCTCAGCCCACTTATCAAACAAGAGGAAAGATTCGTTACCGCAAAAAAAAAGCCCTCTGTCAATTTTTAAACATCAATTTGTTGTTAAGTTCTAAAATGTTATGTTGTTCATTTCTTATTGGATCAGCATTTCCCCCCCAGATATCAATCACTACACATTTCCTGTAAATGGAGAAGAGTAAAAGCCCAGAGAAAATGTCTAAACTCTCTTCACAGTAACCACTAATGATTCTGACCTCATTATATGACATTTCCTGTTGGTTTCATAGCACTTAGATTTTATGTTTATGGTTTTGCAATTCCTATAAAACCCTATAATGTTTTGTGACGTCACTGCATGTCATTATGCTAATATTATTGTCTAAATAAATAATTATTTTGACATTGATTATATATGCACCTAAAGCTTTTCTGTAAGCTCATAGCCTATAGATGTTTGCTGTACACGACTGACTCTTTTTGACAGATGTGCAAGCTGCTAACATTTTGGAAATGTTTTGTTAAATGTTTTAGATGCTCTTTGCTTTTTTATATGCATGTGTGTGAGTGTTGAGCTGAGAGATAATATCCATTTAGTTAATCTATTCTCTACTCATACCCACAAAATGCATAAATGTGCCACTCCTTCCTGTTTCAGTAATATCGCTGCCTATGAAGCATCAAGTTTAGTAGTCATGTATGCTGTGACTCCAATGTGCAAAGAACTGCGTGATGACACTTATACATCTTTCATTTACAATTATTCACAGTCTCATTAGCAGTAGCCTATTCATGTGAACTATTGGCTAATCAGCCATTGAGAACAAATACCACAGAGAATAATATTAGTCAAATCAGCTATTTCTGTTGTAATGGTATATCTAAAGCCCAAATGAGCAAATAATCTTGAGCTGACCAACTGTTTTTTTACATTTGAATCTTATTGGTAACCTGGATTTTGGTATTTAGTGATTGAGGAGATTCACCCTTCCATGTAAAGTGCTTTGAGTTCCCAGAAAAGCACTATATGTAACAAATTATAATAATTATTATTAGGTATATTTAAAAAATAATGAAAGAGTGTCAGAAAATCCCTAGCAACATTCAAACTCAAGTTGTTGGCATTGCTTTACTAAGCATTTTAGCTACATATGTAAAAAGAAGGATTTTGAAAATATATATCTGAAATGTATCTCAAACATTTGGCTCACAGTGCATTTGACTGTTATTTTAACATGAACATATTTTAATGCTTGTGGCATCACTGGCCTGAGAAGTGTTAGTGCATAAACTATGGTCATTGCAGTCTGCATTATTTTGCAAACTGCGCCCTCCCTAGAACAAAACAGGAACTGCGGCACAAAATGCATGTTTCAGCCTATAGGGGAAAGGGAAATTAATCCATAGTGTACGATACCTTTACAGTCTATGTAGGCTACGATTCAAAGTTTATATCGCAAAGGGATAGTTCACACAAAAATGAAAATTGTCATTCTAACTCTTATGTCGCCCCAAACCCGTAAGATTTTCGTTAAACTTCAGAACTCAAATGAAAATCTTTGTGCTTTGTTGTTCCATTGACAGCTACAGTACACAACCGGGGCCTGAAATTAAAACACCCGACCACCTGCCAAATGCGGGTGTCGATCTTTAATAGCCCATGAGAATTGAGTGATTCATTAGGATTTTTACATTTCAACAAGTCCGCCAATTACGTTGGACTTTAGCTAAATGTGGCGGCACATTACTGGGGTAAAGAGGCCAGCTGAAACAAACTACCAACAAAAAGAGGAGGATGAGAAAAAGAAAAGTAAAAGACATTTTAATACAAAGTGGACAATTGGCGGCAATGTTCATGAGCGGTTGATTTATGACAGCGACTGTTGTTTCATAACGTTCATGCGATCAGAAAGAAGATGAGGCCCTTTTCTGACTACGTTTGGATTAAGACCTGACCTGAAACTAAAGACCCGTCTACGTGACTGTGTGGTGTTTACAGTAAAGAATACACAACAACATTATTTTGGTTTAATAAACTTTATTTAAACTTTCGTTTGGAGTTAAGTGCGCACACCATTTAACGTTTAGTTTAAGTTTATTCTTACCGTTCTTTTTGTTTGTTTGTTTGTTTGATACGTCTGAGTCCCGTGAGCTGGTGCACCATCAAAAGGGGTTCGAGTGGAAACATTGGACGTATTTATATGGTTCCGCTGATCGGGCCACAACCATTTCTGTTTCTTCTCCGGGGGAACTCCAAGGACTATTTTGCTTGCTTTTCTTTAGTTTTTTTATAAGAAGTATATTTATTAAGTGAAGTCATTTGATAGTATTATTTGAGGTGTTTGTTTATTTATATTGGGTGTGTTATGGCCATTATAATATGTTTGTGTATCCCCCTTTATGTGTTAATTACTTGACAGCACTTAAATGTGTATTCCTATGGCGTATTCTTACAAGTTGAAGAACAATATTGTGAAAAAGTTAACTTCAGGCCCTGTACACAACTGACACCTTGACGCATCAAAAAGTTAATCAAATATAATCTGTTAATAAAAATTCTGTTCAGAAAATACCAACTAAACCACTCAATTCATATGGATTAGTTTCACTCTCTCTTTATGAACTTTTCTGAGTTTCAAAGTGGTAGGCTAGTTGTGTAGCTGTCTATGGAGGGACCAAAAGATTTGATCAAAAAGGTGAATAATTCATGACAGAATGATCAAAAAGGGGAGTAATTCATGACATAATTTTCATTTATGTCTGAACTATCTCTTTAACAGATAACATGTTGATTGAGATTAAACACAAATAGGCTACAGTTAGGTTTTATGCAGATAGACAAGATAGGCATATGCTGTAAATATGTAGTCTCTTGAATTTACCACCGCTTGACCATTGTGCAGTAAATAATCATTATAGTGAAATTATAGTGCTTTAAAATCTAATTTTGATGCCAGCAGAGGGCAATCACACCCATCAGTCAGTGAGGGACAACAGCAAAAGGGGGTGTGACTCCATAGACCCCTATTGAGAGGGAGCAGTCATCCACAGCTTTGCTAAGAGAGCTGCTCTGTGGCCAACAGGATTGCAGAAAACAGAGCCTTTTGGCACAAGGGATCGCAAACTGCAGCAGTGCCTTCACCAGGGTCTACAC